GAGCAGCCCTTTAAGGGTGGCACTCACCAGCCTTGATATGAGACCATTCTGAGGTCATCATCAGTAATGGTTTCCAGAAAGACATCCTGGGAAACACCAAAGTCCAATAGGGCTTTGAATGCTCTCCCTCCAGAAATATGTAAACTATATATTTGATGTGCTCGTTAAACACTTTTTCTATCAGATTGATTGCCCTGATGTGCGTATCTCTGTTTCAAGCAAAAATTGCAAGGAGCCTTGCTGGTTCTATGGACTAGATGTTGGGTGGTTAACCACAAGGCTAGCGGTTTAAAACACTAGTTACTCCTCAGGAGAAAGATGAGATTATATGTTGCCATAATGATTTATTGTCTCAGAAATCCTAAAGGGCATTTCAGCTCTGCCCTGTGGGTGGCTATGAGTTGGAATCAACCCCTCCATGACAGTGTAGCATCAATTCTTGGGCATCCTGAATCAAGGTCTAGGTAGGTATTTTCAAGGCCGCCCAAGATCCTCATGTATTCTGTTGGGAGGGTTCCTAGCATCAAACAGTAGGGCCTATGTTTCAAATTTGAACTCAAACCCACAGCTCACAGACAGCGATTTTGTTCTTGCTTAGTTTTCTAATTTAAAACAATTTTGCTTTTCTTCTTACCTAATCTGTATAGATATTTTTACCTAAGCTGTATAGCTATCTTTGCCTGCCCTCACACTTGTGTATCTTGCTTCCCTCACAGTAATTATTGACTCCATTTATAAAGTCACCGAGGGTCGGCAGTCGGAAATATTCCACAGACAAGCGGAGGGAAACTTTGACCCCAGCTGCTGCTTCACCATCTACCATGGCAACCACATGGAGTCCCTGGACCTCATCACTTCCAACCCCGAGGAGGCCCGCACCTGGATCACAGGCCTCAAGTACCTGATGGCTGGCATCAGTGACGAAGATTCCCTTGCCAAGAGGCAGAGGGCTCATGACCAATATCCTCTCTGGTTTGAACTGTGTGCGCGTGTGCGCGCGTTCGCACGCGCACCAAGTTAAGAGAATTAGACTACCCTTTGCTTTTTCCAGGATTCCTGCTGGTGTACTGGGTGAAGCAAACAGTGGTTTTAACCCATCAGCCACTCCCCAGGTGACGGATGGCTGCCTGTACTATCATTTAGGCACTCTGACCGGACAGTAGTGGGGTTTCTTTTTTAAATTTCCCCATAATTTTGAGGGCTAGAGCTACTTTCCATCTCACCTTTCTAATTTCCTTCTCCGTCCACCCCTCCCCCAACCTTCCTCTCACCTCGAATACGTGAACTGGGATACAGATGTATAGACACTTGGGTTTGTATGTGCTCAGAGCCAACTTCCTGTGAGGAGTCTGGATGTTGTCTCGCAGTCTGTAGGCTGAACTTTCCTGAGAGAGGTGAGGAACACAATAAATGCTATTACCGGTACCTTTAAAATTGTAGAAATAGTCATTAACTATAGCCAGAAAAGCACTAATTTGAATGAAAGAAAATCTTACTTTGTGTTGAAGTAAGTTTAGTGTAAATTTTTTTCTTATCGCCAATTATAGACCACGCATTGTGCTCCTTCCTCCATTCCCTTTCTCTCTTTAAATTACGGTTTGGAAAGGAAACTGATTGCTACTCAAGGGGAAGCTATTTTTCCCCCTTAATAACATTTACTCTCTCTAAATTACTGGCGTCTGAGCCTCACTTGATTAAGCCCACTCTTGTGGTACTACAGGGTGGACAAGATAAATGATTAACATGGCCGGCCTGAAAGCACCTTCCCACTAGTGGTGGTGGGCTTTCGGCATGGCTTCCCTGGCTTCAATTTCCTTTTCTGAAAAGTAAGGGCATGAGACTAGCTGGAGGCTCTGTTTTCTGCCTTCACATCTTGAATGGCCTTCATATCCTCTATGTAGGGAGAAATACTGTTTTGTTCTCATTGGCATGTATGCCCCAGTCCTTTTCTCGAGTGGTGATGCATTTGTGCTGCTCTATCTACAATCCCAAGGAGCACTGTTGGTGCAATGGTTAAAGTGCTCAGGTGCCAACTGCAAGGTCGACAGTTCAAACCCACCAACTGCTCCCTTGGAGAAGAGGTGGTAGTCTGTTCCTGAAAAGATTTACAGCCTTGGAAACCTGCTGGGGGCAGTTTTACTCTGTTCTGTAAGGTCACCGTGAGTTGAGATTGACTTAACACAATGGGTTTTTCTATAAGCCCATACCTAGAATATTGTTGGAATGGAATGAAAATAGCCAGCTTGTAAAAGGGTCTCAATAGTGTGAAGGTCTGAGCTGATGAGCTGTGATGCTTTCATCGATATTCGCAGCATGTAGAAAAGTGCAACTGGGATTCATAAATGACCCAAGTGCAAACATCACAACTGATTTTTCAATTCTTTATTTTTATTTTAT